ACTGTGTGCTCTCAGAAGAATGATTGCTTAATTTGAGGGAACTGGATATCTATATGTACAGTACAACCAAGATAAGGACACAGATCACTCCCTGCACAAGTAGTGAAAGATGCAACAGAAATAAGCAGATAAAATTAATTAAAGCCATATTCATTACTGAATAAACAGATGTCTGCTGCGTGTCTTTGTTCTTTTAATCATTTACATATCTCTGTCACCTCTACCAGTCCTGCAATGTGCAAATGGCTATGCGCATTCCTTTATGGTGTTACAAAAAGAGTAACAATACTGATTAAATTATATAATAATGTGAAGTAAAAAACTTTAAAATATTGAAAATGTTAATGAGAAAATGTTTAAAATGTTATTTAAAATTACTAGTATTTTTTTCAAGATAGGAAATTAATCTTATTTGAAATAATAAAAAATTTTCATTGAGCCTCAATTTGAAAAAATGCAGACCCATAAATTTCCACTCGTCCATTTGTGTGTCTTTCCTTAATCTCAAGAACAGAGTTAGATGAAATCTGAGACCAGATATGGAAACCTTAGGGGTAGGAGGTCCCAATTAACTATATATGAACTTCCAATGCAAACCCGAAGCCATGTTATTTCAATTCAAAAGTTTTCCCCTGAAATCAGTTAATAGATGATCAGCATGACTATTATTAAAGAAAAAGTATGATGTACTGTACTGTACGTGGGCAAGCCACTACTAATTTGAGGTGGAGAGCATATAATTTAAATTAAATAAATTAAAAATATGATTAAAATTGTATCCTGGCATTGTGACGATATCACAATAACTAATTGCTTATTTTCTTTAAGTTTTGATTGTTTGCATGTACTTAAACTATCGAAACAAAACTTATGATGACAATAGAAAATAATAAAACATGCATATGTTAGATTTTGATTACCACTTAAATATTTTTTATTTTTCTGTATTAAAATTTATAAGAAAGAAAAAACTGATGTATTTTTCCAGTACTTTATATATTTTTTTAAAAATTTCAATAAAACAAATTTAATAAATCATCCAAGCATTATAAGTATATGTCTTGAAATTTTTTTCTAAATAAATAAAATTAGCACTGACTATATTTGAATATAGGTTGCTTTTATAATTTTTGCATATACTTTTGCCTCTTTTTTTGCTTTTATAATTTAAGTTTTTTGTATTATTATTTTTCTTTAAATTCTAATTTATTAATATTTGTAAAATTTCAATACACTCCTAATGTAAGATAATGAAATTTTTAATATTTTTTAAAACTTAATATGTAATGTACATGCATTAAATTAAATAAAGTTATACATACATACATATATATAGATATTTTCATTACTTTTTTATTTATTTATTTATTTATTATATATTATTATTAGTAATCGTCAACCTCCAAGACGTATGTTTCCCAAGTCTATTCCTATTTCTCAACCTGTTCGTTCTCCAAAATTTGGCGTACTTCAATCACCCAGGTATTTTTTCTTTTTTCCCCTATAATTTTCTCTTGGCAAGCTTATAAATAATTGTAAATAATTTGAAATTTTGAGTTTTATTTTAAGCAAACTAACAATTGAGAATTATTGCTGACTGAATATCTGATCATATATGACCTTAATTGTTAGAAAATATGCTTTTTAGGTAATAAATAAGTAATGTGAGTTATATTTAAGTATTAAATGAAAAAAATTAGTTTTAGAAATGGCATGATGCCATTTATTACTAATTTAGAAATGTAAGGGTTTTTGATGTTTTGATAAATTTTTTTGATTTAATAAGTTTTTGAAAGCAAAATAAAAGATTTCAAATGGTATAAATAATAATCAAAATTAAATCTTGATTCTCTACAAAATTTTATTTTTATAAATAAAATGATTATCATATAAGTTAGTTTGTAAATTTTTAAAGATGTATTTGATTTACACACAGAGATTAATGATCCTGTGGAAATGGATCTTCAATTTCTACATTTCAGTTTTATATTTATATTATGATCTTTTACCTAATGCGAAAGTCTTTAAGGAAAATATGTATATGTTTATAATAAAGCTTACTTTTTATTTTGGATACATTAGTATAACATTGTAAAAATATATTATTAAACTTTCTTAAGGATTTTATAACTTAAAGTGTATCTTTATTTTTTAATAAAAAGTACATTATATCTGTGTAAAGTTCTTAAACTCAGTCTTAGGAGAGAATAGTCTTTGAAAGATGGTAAATTATTAAGAAATGTAATTATATTTTAGTTGATTTATTAATTAAGAATTTCTTGTTCAAAGAAATTTTCTATTACAATTTTACATTCTATTACAATGGTCATTTTGCTGAATTGCTTACCATCTGACCATTCTGACCTGACTGTGAAGATGTGTTGGGTGCAATGGATACATGAAGAGAAATAAATACACATCTAGCAGGCTTTGGACATCCCAGACAGTCCACTAGGAGAGATTACTATGTGATACAAGCACCAACAGCTACAACGGCACCTTTATTTGCCATCCAGAGACAAGTGGAAGCCTTACAACAAAACCCTGTCTCTTCCTGTACTATTGGCAGGGAAATTTGCATGCATAACAATCATTATATGTTCTACCATTAGCATCCTATTGTCTGCTTCATTTACAATGGTGATGTGATAGAGAAGCATTTAGTTATGTTACTGGCAGGTTATCATCTTCAGTGTCAAATTTTAGTTCTGTTTGAAAACAGATGACTACTATGTTAGTGGTGGCTTATTGACAACTATATGAATTCTACTTTTATTATTGAGTGGCAAACAGCCCCATTTTTGGCTTGAGCCATCTCATATGATAGTTGATTACCTTAATAGTGGTACAAGAGACATTGCTAGCAAAGCAATATGCTTAAGAATTCTTGCATCCTCATATGTGTTGCCTTTTATGCAGTACTTCAAATAGCTATTTTCAAGCAATATAATGCTCAGCTGTGTACTGCTGAGCATTATATTGCTTGAAAATTTCTAAGAGACTCTAGCAATATAATGCTCAGCTGTGTACAGCTGAGCATTATATTTCTAGAGTCTCTTAGAAATATCTCTGTCACATTGCCAGACTTTCTTAATCTGTCCAGTCTCCAGATTTGTTGCACATTGAGCATTTTTGGGATCATATAGTAGCCACTTTTAGTCATCTACAGGTACAAGGCATCTGGAATGGCAGTTGCAATATCTGTGAACATGTAGCCAGTTGAGCATAGAGGCATGTATCCAGGTGAAAGGGAATCTACACAGTATTAAAGGTTGCTTTAAATTGTTCCATTATTTCATTGGAAATTATCCCTTTGCTATGATATTGTAATTACTAAATTCTACATTCACACTAACAAAGTTTTGTTTAATTCAAACACATTCTTCTTGATATATAATTTTTTTTATCAATGAGTATATTTTATTAGATTTTTTTATTCAAATAAGTATATAAACAGTTTTACAATCAACAGTGTAAATTTTTTTTATGATGATAATGATTTTTGTTAATGTAAGACACTATTATACTATGAATAGTCTATAATGTGCTAATGTCATCGTGCACCATCAAATTTGCTTATTGTGAATGAAGTCCATAGTTAGGTCAGCCAGGTGGTGATGAATATGATTTAAAGTATATACACCAGACTATCCATGAAAATTTTTGAATCTGGATTTCTTAGAAAAGGAAGCAGATATTTTTGATATGTTAGTCATTAATTGGTTGCAGTTATAATAATAACAATAATTATTATTATTAATATTATTATTATTCTTTATCATTAAGTATTATCATCACCATTTTATAGGACATAGAAGTTTTAAACTGATTTTAATATAGCAAACTAATACATTGATATATCCTTTCAGTAGTTGCAAAATAATTCACATTTGTTATTACTCTAACTCAATGTTATTTCAAATAGTATGATTGATATCATGATTATATATAATCAACAAAAATTACTTACATGTTCTAATGTAATGTAATGTAATGTTATAAGAAACTTTTGTTTGTTTTAATTTTTAATGGATTACTTTTAGATAGCCTATAATATAAAAAAGATGTTTATACAATTCTAGGATTTTGTAATTTTTTTTTATTTATCAATTTTCATTAATCTTCAACCATCTCTTTTCACTATAATTCCTGTTAAGTGCAGCATGGATAAGCTGTTATCATTTAGAGACAAGTCAAATGAATAATAATGTTAAATTTGGATTGGCTGAAACTGTTGTGATTTTGAGTCATATATGGCTTCTACTTGGAACAAACACTGACAGGCTTGTAAAATAATATTATAGAATAATATAGAAACTTTTAGAAAATATTCTATAATATTATCTTCTTGCCATTCCAAAATATGGCTATCATTATTTTCCAATAAAAAAAAAGCTTTGTCAGATAGACTTTATCTTTTAGTTACTCTTCCTTAGATTGATATTTTGTTTCAGAATTTAAATAAAGTACAGTAATACCTCGACTTACGCGAACCCGGAGTTACGCGATTTTCAAATTTCGTCGATTCGTCTTTTGTTTGAGTGCCAAGCAACTCTCAATTACTCAATCCCTCCACACTATTGTTCAGCTTATATGTTCAGACATGTTGCACGGAATCGACACATAGCCACAATTCATTTTGTGTTATTTATTTCTGTGTTTGTTATATCTACGGAGACTTGAGAGACTATGTGGTGATTTCTTCTAACCGTGAATGAATCAAAAGACGAGATAAGATTAACGAGAACATTTATTAGCTTACATACATCCGACTTGGGTTTTACACAAATTGCGAAATTATACCCCGACTTACGCGAATTCAACTTACACGGTTATCGCTTGGTTCCACCTATCGCGTAAGTTCGGGGTATCACTGTATCCAAATTCACCTGTAATTATCAGTTAATGCCAAAATTGCCTCTTATATTCCAACTATAAATTGGTTAACTTTAAACAAATTTCAGCACATTATCTTCTGTTTAGATTTTGACAGTAAAGCATCCAATAGGCAGAAAAGTTATTAAGTCCTAAACAGTCATGGAGAATTTCACAAACCTTGTTGAACTATAGGACATATAATTCAAATTTGTTCTACCATTTTTAAAATGATTAATTAAGCAGTAAATTATATGTTTTGATTCTGCATACTCAAATGTGGACTGTGATAGCTGAACAGTTTGTCTTTACATGAACCTTTTGATTCATAAAAAGAAAATAATCATAGAAGGATTTTGCAGCATCTTTTGTTGTTTTGAAAATTAAACAAAAATTAAACTATTTTTAACAAACTGTCATAATAAGCTGATATGTTATGACTTTACAAATAGTTTTATAGGTAAGCATCTTTAAACTTGTTTAAATTTCTATTGTTTTAGTCCATATTTGATCCACAAAAAAAGAAATCTTAAAAATTGTATGTAAAATATGATTTTATTGTATTATTCTGCATTTATTCTATGTACAAACACTGAAATAAATATATAACTTTATAACCATATTTTTAAAATTTTCTAATAATTTAATTTTTATATTTGATTAACATGATATGTACTGTACATCATATGTTTTGTGTTTGCACATGTGTGTGTGTGTGTGTGTGTGTGTATATATATATATATTTATTTATTTATTTTTAAATTTCAGCACAACTCATATCCATGCTAAATATGATTTACTTGTTTGGTTTGAAATCTGCGAGTTAGAACCAAATGGAGAGTAAGTAAAATACTAATTAAAAACATTTAAATAAATTTAAAACATGTTTATATTACTAAAATCATAACTATAATTTTTTAAACTTATTTATAATTTTTAAAATAAATATCTATTTATTTTAATTGTAACAAATGAAATTAAACAATTAAAATTATGTTCTTCTCAATAATGGAAAGAATCACACACACTTTAAAAGAAACCTTTAAAGTTATAACATAATTTCACTAGCATGTTGTGGCATTATTTTGAATACAACTGTTTTTTTGAAACAGTTGAAACAGTTTTCTATATGGGATAGGTTAATATATTTTTTCATACATAATCGGTTATCCGAAAAATAAGTTATCCAAACAACCCCAGTCCCCAATTGATTTGGATAAATGACGCTCTACTGTATTTCATTTAATTTTTCAACAAACAGCAATTCAATTAAGGTTTATTTATTCAAATGTCTCATTTACACAGAAATGTACAGAATATAACTGATGTGGATATTATAGCTGCACATCAAGTTCCTGTTGAAACTATGTATATTAGATTTGTTACTAAACAAAATTTATTAAAAATTGAAAAGTGATGTTTCTGTATCAAAAGATAAAAGTTTTATATGAGTCACAACTTTTACAAATCTGAAAACAATACAACAAAATGTAAATGACAAGATAACTTTTTGATATCCTTGTTTAATTTTTCTTAATTTCATTAATAGAATTAATTAATTGAATTTCCTCTCTTCTAATTCCAAACTTCAAAATTAACTCAAAAAATTTTATTTTAAATGATTTAAGGTAAGAATATGTNGATTTACTTGTTTGGTTTGAAATCTGCGAGTTAGAACCAAATGGAGAGTAAGTAAAATACTAATTAAAAACATTTAAATAAATTTAAAACATGTTTATATTACTAAAATCATAACTATAATTTTTTAAACTTATTTATAATTTTTAAAATAAATATCTATTTATTTTAATTGTAACAAATGAAATTAAACAATTAAAATTATGTTCTTCTCAATAATGGAAAGAATCACACACACTTTAAAAGAAACCTTTAAAGTTATAACATAATTTCACTAGCATGTTGTGGCATTATTTTGAATACAACTGTTTTTTTGAAACAGTTGAAACAGTTTTCTATATGGGATAGGTTAATATATTTTTTCATACATAATCGGTTATCCGAAAAATAAGTTATCCAAACAACCCCAGTCCCCAATTGATTTGGATAAATGACGCTCTACTGTATTTCATTTAATTTTTCAACAAACAGCAATTCAATTAAGGTTTATTTATTCAAATGTCTCATTTACACAGAAATGTACAGAATATAACTGATGTGGATATTATAGCTGCACATCAAGTTCCTGTTGAAACTATGTATATTAGATTTGTTACTAAACAAAATTTATTAAAAATTGAAAAGTGATGTTTCTGTATCAAAAGATAAAAGTTTTATATGAGTCACAACTTTTACAAATCTGAAAACAATACAACAAAATGTAAATGACAAGATAACTTTTTGATATCCTTGTTTAATTTTTCTTAATTTCATTAATAGAATTAATTAATTGAATTTCCTCTCTTCTAATTCCAAACTTCAAAATTAACTCAAAAAATTTTATTTTAAATGATACAGTAAATATTTCAAATAACTATATTACATTAATTTCTCTATATAATTTTATTATTAAAATAAAAACTTGGAAATTACTTTCCCACCCTCAAGAATAATTCTTTGAAAGGATGTTACACAATTATATTTTTACATACAGTTATTAACAAATATCTATTAAACTTTTTAACATGGAATTGAATTATAGTTACTTATATAATTAATAATCTATTTTTAAAATAACAATAATAGTAATTTTTTGGAAAACCAAAACTTATTAATATTGATGAAAGATTTAAACTAATAAATAATTTATAATATTTAGATATGTTCCTGTCGTTGTTGACCATAGTGATGACAGTCCTTGCCAAGGTACTTTCCTTCTCCATCAGGGTATTCAAAGGCGTATTAGACTAACATTAATTCACGAGTCAGGTCCTGATCTTTGTTGGAAAGAAGTGAGAGAACTTGTAGTCGGTAAGTGAATTTATCTATTTTCAAACTCCATAAATATTTGTGTTTAAATACATAGTTGAGTTTCTTATTACAATTTTTTCCATAATTGCAATTTTTGCGATTTCAATGTAAATTACAGGACGAATTCGTACAACACCAGAATGTGATGAAGAAGACACAGATGTTTCTGTACTTTCTTTGGGTCTCTTTCCAGGAGAATATGTCGAGATGATTGGTGATGATAGGTAATAATATTTTCATGTTTTTATTTGACTTTAAATATTTTAAATACAATACAAAATTAAATTTTTTAACTTTTATCATAGAGTTATGTATAGATTTGAAGCTGCCTGGGATAGTTCATTACACAATTCTCCTTTATTAAATCGTGCAACATCCTATAAAGAACAGATATTTATGACAATTTCCGCTTATTTGGAGGTATGACTACAAATTTTGTTAATTCATTGTTTAGAAATATTTCTGAAATAAAATTGCATTTCAGGCATTCCATCATAAAATGGGCTAAATTTTAAAATTTTTTATTATTAGTCTATTTAGATGTTTGTACTAATTAAAATTTAATCATGGTTATTTTGATATAATAGTTATAATGGTAATTTGTATCAAATTATCATCTTGATTTTCACTTTTATCATTTGATTTCTGCTTAATTCAACAATTCCTGAAATAGTGATTCTGTATAAATATTAAGAAACAATATTTTATTGTTAACCTTAATATTTATGATTATTTTATATTTATTATCAGTTTATATGTATGTGTAATTGCATGTATGGCATTTAAGCATGAAGCATTTGAAAGTCCAATTTTGTGAACCTTATATATTTTTCAGTGTTTAACTTTTTTTTCCCTAGCTTGAAAATTGTGCTCAACCAGCTATTGTCACTAAAGATCTGTGTCTTATTATATATAGTCGAGATGCACGCATCGGTCCAAGGTAAATTGGCTTTCTTTCCAGATCTTATTTTATAAATTTGTAAAGTAGAATCTATTTTGAAAGTAAAAATTGTTTGGGATTATTTGCATTAGAAACCACACAAGAACTATTTACACATACTTTAATTGTTAACTTAAAAAATTCTTTGAATTATGTTTTGGAATCCCAATTAAATTATTTTCTTTCAGGTGCGTCTATCATCCCAATCGTAGCAAGCACAACAATATCAATAGGCTAAATTGTCTGAACATTGACATCATCAATCATGTTGGCCGGTACGTTTCATATTGGCCATGGTGTAATGCAACATAATTATCAAATTTAAAAGTTATTTTAGCACATTGAATTTTAATTTTCAAGTTTTTAAAAAATGAAATTCTGCAATAAGTAATTGATATCAGTTATTGTTTCTGAAACATCAATTTACTTAAAAGTTACATTATTTTTATCATTCCAAAATTTTAGTTGTGATTTCCTCATATGCAAAATTTTAAAAAATATATATAATCTAATAAAAATTTAATTTAAGCAAAAATACTGAAATAAATATTTCAAAATTTTACAGGATAATTTTCAATTATAGATATCTTTAACAAATTACAGGGCAGAATTAATAATAGAATATGAAATTTTTTACATAATTATTCTTTATTAATAGTGCAGTCATGAAGACACATGCTTTTATTATCATTATATGTCAATGTGCAGAAAATCAACTTTTAAGAATTTAATTGGAATTGATTTAATTCTCAAGTGCATTTATAATATATGCTCAAAAATAGAAATACGTTTTAAAAATACTAACTCAAAATAGTTTTTTTCTTAGTGAAATTTTCTGTAGCCCAGTTACTTGCTATTTTATTTTAACTTCCAAATCATCTTTTTTGAATAACAATAATTAAAGAATGAATAAATTATTTTAAAAAGCTTTGGTTAGGAAAAAAATGTCTAAAGTATGAAAACATTATTTTTTTATTTTTATTTATAGAAAGCTCTTAACAAAGAAAAAAGATAGCTTTCACTTGATATTTGTGAATGTAATTTTTTTGTTACATATATTAGGAGAAGTCAAATGAAACAGCAGATGTTGCTAAGACACACACAAATCAATTTACATGTTAATAATTACCATTTTTGGCAACACATTTCTTTTACCATGACACCAGATGACAGATGGCCACAAATAACTTTAAAAAATGTTTTATATGTGATTAATAATATGAGATTTTAAATTTTAATTCATAGTTTAATAAACACATTCATATTATCTGTGAATTAACTACATGTTCTATTGACATATTGTGAACTTTATATTTTTTCATTTTTATGTTTCAGGGAATTATTTATCTCACTTTGCTGTCATAAAGCAAACTTGTATTATAATTGGCATTATTTTTAATTTGTAATTTTAACACTTATTGTGATTTTATGATTACATTAATTCAGCAAATGTCTCGCACGTATCAATGCATCACTAGCAATACAAGTTTTAAATATCTCTATAATAGACATTAAATTTTTTTTAGATACATATTCATAAAGTTAATTGTGTGAATTTGTAAAAATTAATATTCATAAAATAATAATTACAAATATTGTGTTTTTGGAATATATATATTAATTTTGTAAATGATTATTTATATGTATAATTTTTTATATTATTAGATTATCCCCCAGTGCCAGATCTTTGCGGCATCTTTTCTCCGGTGCTTATAAAAACTCAGATGTTAATCATGTTAGTGGTGTTTATGAGTTAGTTCTTAAACGTGCTGCAGATTCTGGAAGTCCAGGTAATACTACTTTCTGGTAATAATGTTCATTTTTATTATTTTATTCTTTAATGTCAGTCAAAACAGCAATTCTATTTTAGTAAAGAAGTCCAATGTTTAAAGGAGGTTTAGATAAAAACATCTTTCAAGACTCTTAAACATATCTTCAAAATCCACATTTACTGAATTAAAGTTGTATTCTAATCAACGTTCCAAAATATATTTTGAACACGTTCCTTTGTGGTGTTATTACACCATGTTTTATATCTTTTCCCCCCTCTTCTTTCTCCCTTTTCCCCCTTCTTGTGTGTGTGTATGTGTATACACACACACAAGAATAACAAACCATAGAACAAACCAGGAAATAAACAAAAAGAAATATATATAATATAATTATATTAAAGAAATATATATATATATATATAATTATATTATATATATTTCTTTTTGTTTATTTCCTGGTTTGTTCTATATACTTTTCCTGCATTTTCATACTATTGGTCAGTGTACCGTTGGAGTGCTGTTGTTCACTATAACAATGACATGGCAGGGGGCAAGGTATGGATTGGTCAGGTAATGTTTTGGGGAACAAAAAGGATATTACAATGGAAGAAAACTTTTTTTAAGTTTGTCCCTGTGTGTGTGTGTGTTTTTTCAGGAGAGGAAGAATAGACAGACAATGAACCTAGGTGATCATGGAGATCAACAACGAATTAGATTTAGATAGAGTTAGATAGCCAAATAAATAGGATTTAACAATTTGGAGGGCTTATCACACCAAGGCTGACAGAAAAAAAGATCAGATCTTTTACAAAACAGTTAGTCTTTAATAATCATCTTCAAATTTAGGTAAGGATGCATTTGGGGTACAAGGACCCCTCATCAGCTTACAAACACATAGCATCAACATATAATTATAACACTAATAGTTAACCAATACAAAGAAATTTTTGATATATACAGTGAACTGTATTTACAATTTTTAATACAACCCATATATTGAAGAACTAAAACTATCAAGCATAAAATTTATTTATATAATAATGTGATATATCAGATTATTTGGGACCAGTAAATGTATTATTTTATCCCACATTTTCCAAATTCTGGTAGACTGTTCCATATTATTAAAATAATTGGTTTCCAGACCTTAAACAAAACAAATACACCAAATCCATAAGACGGTGTGAAGCCAACTGCCTTGTTACAATTCATTTTACAATGACTACAGTGCACTGTATATATCAAAAATTCCTTTGTATTGGTTAACTATTAGTGTTAGAAATATATATTGATGCTATGTATTTGTAAGCTGATGAGGGGTCCTTGTACCCCAAACGTATCCTTACCTAAATTTGAAGATGATTATTAAAGACTAACTGTTTTGTAAAAGATCTGTTTTTTTTTCTGTCTGCCTTGATGTGATAAGCCCTCCAAATTGTTAAATCCTATTTATTAGTCTATCTAACTCTATCTACATTAAAGTCTTGGGCTAAAAGTGTTGTTTATTATTATTAACAAATTAGATGTTGGGCTATATATGTAATCCACTTGCATCAGAAATTGGATCAGGTATGAACAGCAAAGATTAATCGGAACTTTGAACTGAGTGATAAAACTAATATTTGAAGGGTTAGTTCACAGATTGAAGGTAATTATTTGGATTGAGTATGATCAACCTGCATGCAAATGTTATTGTATTGTGTGTGATGATGCATGTATAAGACTACTGTTACATTTATACATCTATGTACTGTACCATACATTCATATATATGTATATGTATATTTGTGATCAATTTTTGTTTAATATACTTATATACATTTAGATATAATAGAATTGTATATCAACTGATTATTTGTGTCTCCTTGTTTTGTTCATATGGAGAACTATACCTCTGAAGAATTTAGGAAGTCCATCTGATTCCTTACATTTTGGAATGTCAATGAGAATTTAACTATAATTTATTGAATGCATATGGCAGATACTGAAGATGAGATGTTTCAAAAGACTTTCTAAACTTCTTTAAAATTAAACTGCTTTAATTTTCCTTAAAATTGGACATTTTTACTAAAATAGCATTATTATTTTGTTTGGTAATGTTGTTATAATACATTTTAGATTTTTATTGTTTTCATTTTTTAAAAACGTATTAGGTGTTCAACGCAGACAGAGACGTGTCCTTGATACTTCTTCAACATATGTGAGAGGTGAAGAAAATCTCCATGGATGGAGACCACATGGAGATCAACTTATTTTTGACCATCAGTGGGAACTCGAAAAGTTAACACGACTAGAAGAAGTAAATTATATTTATATTTTTTCAAACAAAAATTTTTTATTACGAGCAACAAAAAATTTTATGATTCTCAAAAAATAATAAGTTTACTACCTGAGACAAAAAAGAACACATTACACCAGATAACATATAAAATTGCACTATACACCTAATGATGCATGCCTTTTGTTCTGTATTTTTCATAATGTTAAGGGAGGTGTTCCAATGACTTCTGTTTGTTTTTTAATGGACATTGGACGTTATTTGTTATTTAATGGCCATTTGAATTTTTATGTTTGAAATTGTGTTCCACCAATAAAACAGCAAGATTTGCCTAAAACAGGTCTTTAGAAGAGCCCAAAAACATTTTTGCAATTTATATGTGTTACTGACACAGGTTATTAGATTTATAGTTCAATTTATAATAAAAGTGTTTGGGAAAAGTTATCTTTTTGGAGTTATAAAATTTTCAAATGGAAATATAATAAAATTGAATATTAACTGCATGAGACCATTAATAAATGCATTTATTTTCATAGCCTATATTCAATCAGATCAGCAGTATTCACATTATTCCAAGATGATAGTAATAAAATTCTAAAATTTTCTAATGTTTTAGTCTGATATTGTACAATTGTTTTTTAAAGGAATGTCATAGGTTTATTTCAAATAAACTATTGTTCAAGAACCTTTCAGGTTTTATTTTCAGGTCTATGTTTTCAGGAAAGATCTGACAAAGAATTTTATTTGAAAGTTTTTAGTTTTGTAGGAATTGACTGTTTACTCTGATGTTTTCATTTTCTGTTCAGTATTCAGCAATTATTTAATCTTTTCCATATATAAACTGAAACTACTAAGAACTTAATGGTTTGTTTTTTTACATATGAATTTTAAGAGTTTTATTGTTTTTTTTAACATTACTATACCTTAGCTTTACTATTTTTATTTCAAATACCAAAAACCAATTATTATTTTAAACATTGATTTTTGGTATTTTGGTAAGAATATTTAATCTATAGCTATTAATAAGTTTGTGTATTAGTATTTACATCATACTTATAACTTTATAAATAATGTAATAATGAATATCATAGAATGCATTTATGCAAAAATGTGTTATAATGATAAATTTTGGAAGTGAGATTGTTGATTGTGTTTAGTCATTCTTGACCAAACTCCATTTTCATAAGAGACACTTATTTCCTAAATTTTTGTACTTGATTTAACATATTATTCTTTAATAATCTTAAACTACAAAATTTGAATCTAAAAATACATATCAGCATTTATCAAAATGATTTGTATTAATTATCACAATACAGTTTGTATTTTTTACTTGAGAATGACCTGTCTGTTTCGTGTCAAGGTATTATATCATAATTCATTTTCATTATTTGAAGTATCCGCACAAATATTATTTAATAATTCATGAATTGCTTTAAATCTTTCAGCAGAAAATTGAAATCTTGCATTCTTAGACTCCATGTTTGATAGTTACTTGATCGAAAGTAAAAAGTTGATTTAAAAGAAAAAAAATATGTACAGTACATTATATTGTATTTTTATTAATAGTTATATAAACTATAATACTAATTAATAATATGTCTGATTTTCAGTTAGTATTTTTATCTACAAGTATTAAAATTGATGATTGTTTTATTTTTCAATACTGTTGAAGATGACAGAGAAAGCTTTCTACACACTTTGACAATTTTAGTACCATATTCTAACTTGCAAATAATTTCTACTTTTTCATAAACCGAGAGACATTTTCTTTTCTTTATAGACATTTTTCTTATGGAAGAGCTTATTTCTAACTAGAGTATATGTTAATTTTACAATCACAGTGATGATTAGGTAAATTGGCAGAGAAGAGCTGGAAGCTAGTCAAGAAAGAGAGGGCAACCTCCAAAAAGAAAGTTAAGTGCCTCTAATTCATGCAGGTTGTAAAACTAATTATCCAGTGGTCATAAAACTAAGTAATCCTTTTAGCTTTATCTCATTCAAGAATTCAATACCACGTTTCTTACTACTTGAACAATTAAGATGTTTACATGTTTGCATAACTGAATTTCCGGGGCTTCAATCGACTCCGTCACACATTTGTAATAACTATTTTATCCCATAAGATTGATTAGATCTCTGGGAATCGGGACTCTTGACATGTACCACTTAGTTGATTATGTGGACTAAGACACAAATGAAAATTTGTGACTACTTCTGGAATTTGAGGGGACTAATTCTGTTGTGGGTAAGTCGATTGAGTTAAGCAAATGACAGTCATTTAAATGAATTGATTAAAATATTTATTAAGTAAAAATTAGACAAAATCCATATATACAGTTAAAATGGAATAATAATATCAAACGATATAAAATAATTAAACATTACAATTCAAGCCTATTATAAGTATCTCTTACAAAGGGGAATCGAATAATTGACCCACTAATCTAATCTTTACATTTCATAAAGAGAGAGAGAGAGAGAGTTTACATTGTATATTGCCTTTGGTGATATTCAATCTTCCTTTGATGCAAAGGAAATCTATGAGATGAACTGATAAATGAGGAGAGTACACGGGACTGTATGACTGGAACTTGGAGTCTAAGCTTGCCTGGTCAAGAACATTGAAGAGACAGCTCTCGTAGGAGAACTGTGAGCTAAGCTAGGCTAGGCTGACCTGATCTGATGCTAGCTGCTAGCTGACATTTGGAGGTGACCTGTCCCTTTTTATCAGAAATCCCCTCCAATCAAATCATTTAAAATAAATCCTCCACTCTTCCAATTGCGTGATGGAAGTTGGGTGGTTTTGTGGCTAGGGCATGAGAAATCCCACACTAAACTATTGTTTTTGAAGGAACTGTGTTTTTTCTCCAACTAAACAGAAAGTTTTTTTTTAACTCTGTACATTTAATTTTACAAAACAAGTAAAATTAGCAAATTATTTAATGAATATTTTAACAAAATCTGTTAAAATTAATTTCTCAGCTCTAGATTCTCATGCATACCTACCAAAAATTTGCTCGATATATCCATGAAGTATGCTTGTTATAACCATGAGAAAATGTACAGCAATATGTGTAAATTAAAATTGTTGTGGCACTTTGCTCTTTATAACTGTAAACTCATTACAGTTATAAAGAGCAAATTCATGTTTACTCATGTTTCAGGATACTGTATTAAACATCCTAGTTATAAGAATCCATTTAGTAAGTGAAAAGGGAAAGCTTTTAAGTATTAAAGAGAAACTTGAACTGATAAAATGTTTTGTAAGTTTGTATAGATTTGAATGTTCTGTCCTTTATTCTGTTTTTCTTTGTTATTTTTATTGTGCAGAATTTCATAATTCAGTGCTTTTTAGGAACATCTAATACATTATGGAAGAAATAATAATGTTTTCTGGGATAAATCTTTGAGAATATGAGTTACTGAATGTTCAAATATTTGAATATATAATACATTTTTAAATTGCTAATAATAAATTATTCCACATAATTTTAAACTTTGGAAAAATAATTTAAGCCTAAGATATTTGTATTATATTCCTGCAGGTAGAGAAGGTTCGACATGTCTTATTGTTGCGTGAAAAACTGGGAATTGACAAAGGTCCTAACTATCATCAGGAAATTAGCAAATCTGAAAAAGAAGCTTGCAATCTTGTAGCAAAGGCATCAGGTGAAGGAGGAAGACCTATAATTTCAGCTCCTTTGTTACCCTCTCCAACATCCAATCGAATCATAGATGAATCTGTTTATGAACCTTGGGAAATGACTGAGAAAGAACGGGAATTAATAACTAAATGCATCACACTTATTCAAAGTCACATTCCATCTAAACCACCTCCTACTGGAAATACAAAGAAGGTAAGTTGTTGTTATTTTGTTTTAAATATTGAAAAAACTTAAAAACAATAGAATACTTTAAGTATATATCTTTTGAAATTTTAATATTTAACTATTTTTGTTTTGTTATAGGATTTTTTTTAAATGACTAGAAAGATTTAATACATATTATAAATTGTTTAAGGATACTAAAATAATATTAGATATTTTACAAAAGAAAACTGCAGCTTTTCTGAAACTAAGTGTTATAAAACTGAAAAATTGCTTTTACTTAATTCAATTCTTAAAATTTGTATATTAAACTTTCTCTTAAATCAATTGTTCTTAATTTGTTTTGCTTCATTTAAATTTAATCTGAAGTATCCATTCATTTATAAGAATTTTTTTTCTGTATAAGCTTATTTTTTCTATAATTGATGTTCTGTTAGTTATAAATAAGTCTTATGATGTAATGAATAAAAAGAAAGATTTAAACTGGCAGTTGGGAAATTGTAAAAAGTTAAATTTCATGCTCTTTAATATTAAGAATAATTTCAATAAGTTCAAGTTTCATTGTGTAGAGTTAATATTACATCAAAAAAGAATGATGTCAGAAGTAAAATTATAAAGTGTTAATTTAATATAAGTTAGAAAAATGAGATTTAAATATAGTGCTGTTTCTCCATAGACAAATCTTAATTAAGTCCATAACAAATATTAAGTATCATAAGATACAATGAAGAGAACATAATTTCTCAAAACTTTTATGATGCAAGTAAAGTTTAACTTTTGAAAATTAGTGAGAATGTATAGTTATTTTAAATGTTTTTAATGTATAAAGTAAGACAACTTAATTACTTGTGCTTTTATTTGTTATATAGAAAACCCAAAATATTTTTTCTTTCTTTAATAAATATTAATGTCATTTTTATTATGTAGTGCTAATTAATTTTAATTTAAGAATTGTTTTGGTAATTCTATGAACATTAGGTTTACATGTGATAATTAACAAAAACTGAAAAATTTTCAGGATACTGTAATGACACCTGATGAAAATGATATTATTTCATCTGCATCAAGCATGCAATCTAGTATAACTTCTTCTTCTTCTCAAGAGTAAGTTCATCTTTATATATAATAAAATACAAAAAAGTTAATGACTTAAATATTTCAATACTTTTTAAACTAGATTTATATAAATGTTTTTAAGTAATAAGAGTTTTTTTTTATAGAATACTGTCACCAGAACAAAATAACAGCATTCTCTCTGAAAATAATATAAACAATCTGAAAACCAGCAAGGCTCCCACAACAAATTCTCATAACAATGGAAAACTTCTCTATGTTGCTGAAGTAGAAGAAATTCGTGTCAGTCCTGTAGTTTCTCGTAAAGGATATCTGAATTGTTTAGATGACAAAACAAATAGCTGGGTCAAAAGATGGGTTGTAAGTAGCAGAATCTGATCTTATAAATTATTTTAAATTTATTTGTATATAGTATATTAATCTGAATATATGATTGAAGGTTGTACGTCGTCCTTATGTATTTATATACAAAGATGAAAAGGATGCAACTGAAAGAGAGATAATTAATTTAGCAACTGCACAAGTGGAATATAGTGAAGATCAAGAAGCAATGCTAAAGGTATTTAATTCTATCTTTTAAGAATTGAGGTTTTATGTTAATGCATTTCATTAATGTCTTATATTTGAACAAAACAAAAATTTTAAAAATTAGAATGCTATAATAATAGAGAAACTATGATAACATTGCTTTACAGTAATGAAATAGAAATGTTTAATTATAAAATGAAGACTAAAGACTAAAATCTGATTTTTATGTTTATTTTTGACTTTTAAATAATTTGTAATTTTGATCAAAGTCAGCATTTACTTTGAAAAGCCTTTACAATAACCTAAATCTCATAGTGGATTTTTAATAATAAAAGATCAGTTTTATTGTGATCAATCTCTTTTATGCTTTATGAGGTAAGATTTATTATCTTATCTTAGTAAATTAAGCTCAAAATTATAAATTGATCAAATGATAATGCCAGATTCATTGGATCATAACTTGGCTAATTAATTATATAGATATAAAGTAATTTGGACTAAAGTTAGGTGATTAATTTGCCATCAGTCATTTAGTCCAAATTGTTTTATATCTGTATATATAATTATTCAAGTTATAGCCCAATAAATCCAGCATAATTATTTGAATTATCTTGTATCTAACATCAAAGAGAGGGTGGAAATTCTTCAGTTTTCAGACAAAATGTACATAATAATCTAATTTTATAAATACTGGATGATGACAATTAAAGTATTCCTATTTAAAATTGACTAGGGAGAGATTTAGCACTCCAAATGCAATAATTATATGGTGACATTTCAGGGCATGTAGCAGAAATTTTCATTCAAACAGAAAATTAGTACCAAAACTCACCATTATGACATTTTGGCCTTGGCAATGAAAACGCAGTTTTCTTTGCATAAGCATATGTATTGCGGACAAGTTCTTGGTAAAAAAAAAAAGTGGTCATAACTGTTGAATGTCATTCTTATTAGCTACATAACTGTTGCATTTCAGCCACAGAAAATTGTCATGCCTTCCAGCACAATCTTGCCTCAAGATAATCTCATGGATTCACAGTCACATTTGTTCTTGAACCATTCTTCTTCAAAGAAGCTAATCCCAATGGGCCTGTGACGTGCTCTGTGTTAGTCTAAAGATACCAAGAGATGCTCAGTTGCAATAGCAACAATGCCTAGAGTCAACCATTTTTTACTCCATTTTCAGACATTGCATACAGCAGTATCTGTGAAAACATTTCACCAATAACAAATTGATTGTGTAATAGGAAATGCATAACTGAATATATTGCAAATTTGCCAGTCCTGAAAGACGGTATCACACTAATCTTTAATTAATTTTAATTAATTACTTATGGTCAGCCATTGAATACACTGTTCATCTTCAGGTTTTACACTTCACTTTCTTAGTGGGACTACATAGAGTATATCTTCTGCATTGCTAATGTCTCTGTACAGCATGAGTGTTGTGTACAAATAAAATGTTTGCTGCTTCTGAAACCAAAAATGCCATAGCTATGAGTTTTGGTACTAATTCTTTTAACAGAAATATCTTATACAGTTAATATAGACAGGATGATAAAATAGGTGTTATTAAAATACTTTTTATGACACAAAAATAACTTTTATTTTCACTCAAGTGCTTTTGTTTAATCCAATTTAACCTTCTTCAGGATCAAATAAAATGGAAATAACAATATATGAATTTCAAAGTCGAATAATGCTCTTTTATATCAGAGGCGGCGCTTTTTTTTTTATTAGATAAGTGCACCACTCCTATGGGAGTATAACACTAAGATACATAAAGCAAGATAAATGATTCAAAGTAAACATAAAATTAGAAAGTTCTGCTTTTAGTGAAGACTAAAAGTAATATTAGAAATTAGAAATTATGAAAAGTCTTTTCTTCCATATATTTTGAATATAACTGTAAAAGGTATCAAACAGAGGCTTCTGTACAAGTTTATCCAGTGGACATGGCCACCTGAAACCATGCATGAAGATTTCTAATTTCATTATAAGTCTATCTNTGATGCACTTAATAACAGACGACTTGGTCTTTTCCACACAGGTTCTATAGCTGTGACCCTCTACTCCACAGTGTGAGCAGGCAGGTTGTTCCGGTACACATTTTGAAGCAATGTGACCAAATTTGCAGCAGTTGTAGCATTGTTTGATTCCTAAGTAGTTGAGGACTGCGCTTGAATGTGTATGAACATAAAAATAAAAACAAACAAACAAACCCACCATAAACAAAACAAGTGGGGAGCGAAAAAAAATAAAGAATAAAGTAAGATATTAATACTGAAAAATGTAAAAGTATGAAAAATATACTTTGGAGGAAGATAAGGCAGCAAAAGAACAACTGATAGAATGGAAAATGTTAAATCAAGATAGATGAGTTGCTCTTACCTGGTGTGGAAAAGGAGGTTGCAAATGTTCTTCCAATTATCAGGACATATTCAGAAAGGTCTCAGTCTGTAGAAAGGATTTTCAGTATCTCTAGAGTATTGTGGTATCTCTAGAGTAGAGGAGACATCATACATCATTCCAAAGCAGTATGTAATGTTCTTGGGATGTCAGCCTCACAAACTCAGCGATGAACTTCTCTATTCTTGTCTTCTGCATGTCTTGAAATCTCACCGTACCAGATTTGATAACATTTTGACAGCTAACTAAATACCTTTTCAGACTGTGTTGAATAGAGATACTTCAATTACGATCACCAAGTATATGTTAGAAATAGTGTTTTTTTTTTCTACATTCTATTTACTTTTGTTTTTAATGGATTTTCTTATTATAGTGAGGAAAATGGAACTTTGTTTCCAAAATTTTTATATGAAATAGATAAAATAAATTAAGCTTTCTGATAAACATAACAAAGAAATTTCATATACATGCAAATCATAGCCTTATAAAAAATAGATTGCAAAGTGATAAAAAATTGATTACATGATGAGCATTAAAATTTTAAGAAAAAAATTTAATGAATCAAATTTCATAAAACTAAATTATAGGAAAGTTAGGTAATAAAGTAATTGCAATAAATTTAGAAATTATGTAGCTTTTCAATTATCCAGAAACTGTATTAAAATATTGCATACAATACATAATTTAGCATTTATATGATCAGTGAAGACTAATAATTTATAATATGATAAATTAATTATAAAGAACTGTGTTGTTTAGGTAAATAATAAATATAAAAATTTGTTTGTAGGAAGATTATTTTGTATAAAAATAAATTAGTAAAAGAAATGAAAGAGACTAGAGAAATTTCTCAGTTTGTTAACCTTAAACAAGTATTTTATTAAAAATATATTTCCAAATACGTTAAAGTAAAACCATTCTACTTGATAAATACTTGTATATTGACAGTACTCTACAGGATTGACAGATTTTATTTACAATTTACCTTTGTAAAGTAATAAGGTTTTAAAATTGTTTTAAGAATTGTCTGTATTTTTAATCATTATTCATATTTATGATTTTGAATAATGGTTAAAACACCTATGTAAAATATAATTATAGTTTTTGCTCTCATATATATATATATATATGAGAGCAAAAACTATAATTATATTTTACATAGGTGTTTTAACCATTATTCAAAATCATAAANATACTATAAAATGTAAAAAATAAAACTAAAACTAAACTGAAAGATTGATCGTAATGAATAACACTAGTTTCATAATACAAATATGTTGATAAAGACTTCATGTTCAGTCTGTTACAAATCTAAATATGAAACATAAACACTTATAGATATTACATAAATTTTTTACTTATGTAGAAAATTCCAATTTTTGTAATTTTATTTTCAATTTTTTACATAAAATAGTTTTAACTCTAAACATCAAAATTTGAACTAATTTTTTGAAAAGTTTTCTAAACTTCTCACTGCAGAGTTTTGGCACACAGGTACCCCGCACGTTTTCTGTGTTAACTAAGCATCGAGGATTTTTGTTACAATCACTCGAAGGCAAAGAAGTTCATGAATGGTTATATGCCATCAATCCACTTTTAGCAGGACAGATAAGGTAAGAATATTATATAAAACTTATACATATATATTATATAATCTTTATGTAGAGAATTATTTTAAAATGAAAACTTAGTTGGATATTCATTTAATTTTACAAAATATACAAAACAATAATGAGGAAAACTTAAGTTTAATTATTAATTAAAAGTTATTTGAAGTAAACTGCTAAAATTCATTATTTTTTTCACTTGTAAAAAATAACAATTTATTAATAAAAGAAGTATCAATACTTTCTGTATAATATAATCTGACTTGCAATTTTCTCTGTGATCTCAAACTTTTATTAAATTTTATTAAATTCATTTAATTATTCATATTAGGTTAAATCAAGATTCAGTTTATATGTAAAATTTACAACCCTGGTGAGGAAATAATTTCAGTTGTCATGCTTACTATGTTGTTATACAGCATCGAGTATAATTTACTAGATAGCTGTAATCAACTGGAAAATTAGGAATTTATTTTCCTAAAATCTTAAAACCTAAAGTATAATTATATTGGCTTCAATTACATATTAATTGAATTATTCATTTAATCAGCTCAATTATTAATTTAATTATAATGATAATTAGCAAAGTTGTTACCAGTCTTTTTTGGTTTTAATCAGTCAAATTTTTAATTTACAAAAGATTGTTAACATGCAGAAGAGTTATTAATCAAAGAAAAATTTAAATGGAATTTGATTGAAGGGTTTAAAAATGTAAAACAAATGTGTCCAACAAAGATTGCATTTAGATTTTCTGTTTTTGAACTTTTTAACAGCTGTAAACATTATCATATTTGTTGAGTTGATTGGCTTGTTCTATTTGTTTACAAACCAATCATTCATATAGATGAGCTCTTGTAATATCTTTAGAAAGACTTTTTAAAAAAAAAAAAAAAAAGGTACTTTCCTCTGAGAGCAGGAGACAATTGCTTTTAGAGAACTTAATAATAATTTACAAATAAATTTAAAAAATTTGATTTTTGAAAATTTGGTATTGACATAGTTTCATTATATAATCAATTGTCTGCTTTTGTAATGTTTTCATTGTTATGAGTTTCTAAAACAAACTTATTTTTCATAGTTATTAAAATAATACTACTACATCTATAATAGCCTGTTTTTTCTTGTCTTTCCTATTTTTGAAATTTTTTGCTAATAAAATATTACTAAACTAACTAATTTATTATAAAAAGGCATTTAGCCAGCCATAGATCTACAATAGTTGTGTGACAAGACATTTTTAGAGATTTCTCCAACATTCCATGACATTTTTATCAAGAGCAACTTCAGTTTATATCTAAGCACATTTTTAGAGCATTCAATTCTAGTAATTTGAATTGGACAGTAAAATAATAGTTCAATTCCAGTTACTAGGAGGGATTCTAACCTTATTTTGATTTCAAACTATTATACTGTAACTGTCTTGCACAAGTCAGAATTTTCTAGACTGAAAATAACAAGTGTTGCCAGTATTTTTTTATAATCTCCATATTTCCATTATTTTATGTTTTATTTATTGAATGATAAGTCTACAGCATTTATGAACTTAAATATTATAAAAACATATTCAAACTATATGAAAACATAACAAACATTCAATATAGAATCTTTAACAATGCAGTTTAAAGTAGAATATTTCTTCATGTTTAAAATAATAATTTGTTAGAAAATGATAAATCATTATTTTAAATATAGAAAGAAAACTTGTAATCCAGATCTGGGGTTCAGCTAAAACCAAAGCTTATGAAAAACACCAGATTTTTTTAAAGTTAATCTGTTGAAAATGAAGTTAATGCCAAATGATCAGTTGAATTATTGGACTATTTTTGGGCTACATTAATGATTAGTTACTAATTAATTTCATTGGAAGTAGGCAGATTTGCTGCCATCTTGTATTAATTTTTATAATTATATTAAATTAATTTCTAATTTAAAAATTCTGGAAGAAAAGAATCAGGCCAGAGAAGGACTTAAACCTGCAACTTCTGCTTACCATGTAGATGCATTGCCAGTTTCATTAACTGAACCTCAGTCTGATTTTTGTTATCAAAACTATTAATTTCAATTTAACCCATGTTTTAATTTAGTATTAATTAATCAAATCAGATTTATGAGTTGTTTTTGTTGTATAGAAAATGAAGTTGTTTGAAATTTACATTTTTCAGTAATATTTTTTAATCATTCAAAATTTTCAATGAAATATGACAGTTATACCCATAAATTAGGGATATTGAATTCCTTACCTCATCATTATCCATTAGGCTAGAGACACTGTATCAAAAGCAGTTTATTACAAAGTTTATTGGACTGTGACACACACACCTTATGTCTCTCTTTGAGAATCAATATTTATTGTTTTACAAACGTTTTCAACCTGTAAAACAAACAATAAATATTGATTCTCAGAGACATAAGGTGTGTGTGTCATAGTATTTAAAGAATCTGAGTATGTATTGAAATGTTTATTGTACGTTGAATTACTTTATCACTGGACACAAGTATTGGCTTGGTCTGTGGAGTTTTAATCAAAAGTCAACAGATTTACTAGAATGAACCTAACTAAATTATTGGGTTTAAGTCACACTACTATTAGCTCCCCAGTCACCCCAAGGTTATTAACTATATTACCATTGCAATATTTTGTTCAATATACAGTATGCAATGAAGTATTTAAATGGTAAAACTAGAATAACAAAGATAAATCTCAAAAACTTTTGTCACTTACAATATGAAATTACACTTATTAGATTTGAATATGACCACATTTTCAATTTTATCGAATTTTTGAGAAATATGCAACATTTAACCTTTTGTCGATAAGTGATAGGATGAAAGTCAGTTATAAAGTTATAATGTTCAAAATATGTAAAACAATATTTATTTAGATACTGATATTATTGAGTTGAAAGAAATAATCTTATATTTTCTTGATATCATAATAGCAAATAACAGCCTTAATTATATTATCTAATGTCATGTCATTCATGGATTGCATATCATTCAGTTAATATTTTGATACCAAATTGTAATAATACTTATAGACACAACATATTACTTTAGAAAATATAGTCCTGTTGTTTTAAATTCGATATCATCATTATGTAGATCATGTAAAGATTGTTTTGTGTACATTTGATAATGCCATAAAATTTTATGATTGATTTTTGATTTTAACAATTTTTTGTAAATTTTTAATTTTTTCTCTCTCAAAAAATTTCATTGAAGCAAAAGATAATATCATACAGTGGTACCTCAGGATACGAAATTAATCCGTTCCGAAACTGAGATCGTATCATGAAAATGTCGTAAGGTGGATCATCTTTTCCCATACGATTACATGTAAAACCAAATAATTTGTTCCAACGCGAAAAACATACTCAAATTAAAGCCAAGTAATACATTAAAAAAAAATAACTGTAGTAAGAAAAACAAATGAAAAATGCGAACTAATGTAACGTCGTATGGTGAGTTTTTGTTCGTATCGTGGAGCAAAAATATGTTCAAATTTCATGTCGTATCCTGAAAATTTCGTATGCTGGGGCGTTCGTAACCTGAGGTACCACTGTACTTAAATTTGCCAATTTTATTTTTACAGTTTTCACAATTAGATCCTAGTAGAGCTGTTTTAATATTATTTTATTTATTCCTGCTTTCTTTTATAAGAAGAAGAATCACACTTAACTTTTTGCTATAATAAATATTTTGGTAAAATATTTTCAGACATTTTTATACAACTTCTGAAATAATAACTTACCAAATTTACTCATATATAGGCACTCTTTTTTCAGAGGTTAGTATATGTCTGAAAATAGAAAATAAAGTGTATCTTAGATTCAATATAATAATTGAGCCATTTACAAGCCAAATCGATTTACTCACATTTCAAATTTTTTTAAATTTTAGTGTCAAAACACTTGATATACTCATAACTTTTTATATTTGTAATAAGTTTCCCTAATAATAAGAATTAATACCCCTTAATGACAAAATTTTATTGGCCATCGAAAAAAATTTTATTTATTTCAGAAGCCAATCCAATTAACTCCATAATGTAACATAAATCTGCCAATGCACACTGCAGCTTTGCAATTGCAGTGTGTACTAATCAATGGTAAATTATTTAATATTAACTCATCAGAAAAAGTAAGTAAAAGAAATTAGTTAGTTACAGTCCAACTGCCACAGAAGTAAGTATACTTGTGCAATATTGAATGATTGTTTTAATTTTGGTAGCAATTGTTTAAAAAAAAAAGTTATGCTGTTATATCAAGATGGATGAAACTAAAAATAATTTTTTTTCATTCCTCCTATTAAACATGATCCTTATAAAAATTTAAAAATGTATCAGATCAATGGGACTTCAAATACATCATTTATGTTGCTAAATAATCATTTAAAACAATTGCTAAAATAATAATAACAACAACCATTGTAACTATACATTAATCAAAGTCGAATATTATCAGGTAGAAATGGCTATAATACTAATAATTTAATAGACAATTTGGAATTAGAGTTAGGCATTAGGCACCATCTCTTGATAAATTAATAATTTTAGAATTAAATTATTAATTACTAATATTAAATTATTAGTATTATAGACAAATCTCACCCGATAATATTTGGCTTTGGTTGATGTATAGCTTTAAACTTATTGGGTGTAGTAAAGATGTTTGATTAACCATTGTAACAGTGACAGAACACTTATTATTCATTTTTGCAAAAAATCTTTAATAAAAAATGTACGATAATGAAGTTTCTGTATAATAAAAAAACTATCTGAAAACTGAATTTGATGTTACTACATTTTTCATTTGCCAAATTGATTAACTCCTTCAATCACACCAAAATCATAATAATAATACCATATATATGCTATAATTGTTATCTTATACATTTTATATGTTATTAAATAAAAGCTACATCTACAATAATACATTCTACAATGTTCATATGAATTTATATTTTAAAAGGAATTTTAAAAAAGAACATATATTACTTTGTCACTTTTCTCCACTTTTTGTTTTATGGAGTTAATCGATTTGGCAAGTGACAACACAAGTAATAACCTCTGGTTCTATGCATCTTACAGTATTTCTTTTTCAGTGGAGAAAATTATACCATTGAGTCATTTTAATGGTTTTATTACACCAATATTAGTAATACCAAATATTTAAGAGATCAACTTGTCTTAATCTCATTAATCTCATAATTACTTAGATGAAAATCTCAGAAAAAGTTATGCAGCACTCTTTCAAGAAATATTGCATTTCCATTGCTTTAAATAGCACTGAGGATGATTACATGTGGAAGATGTAAAAAGTGTTGATTTAGAAGAATCTGACATTTCCATGTTAGATGAAAGTGAAATAATATCTAACTTTGATACCACAGAAGACAGCAATATATAACTAACTTTACTTTGCAATAATAAATGTTGATTCTGTTGACATAAGTTTGACTCAAGTCAAAATATGTATTTAAAAAAATCTCCATTGGTGAGCAGGTAGAAATTAAAACTCAGATTTGATGGCAGTTTCTTATATTTGAGTAAATATGATATATAAAAAAATTTGATTTTTAAAAAGAATAAATTCAGTTAGACTATTTCTAGATATTAATTAATTCAATCTATTTGTGAAACAATTTTATAAATACAGAATTGTAAGTAAATGTAAATTTTAACATGTAAACTTAAAAACAAATAGAAAATAACTTAAATAACTTAAAATTAAAACATCAAGTCAATTATGAAGTTTTTTAATATAATTTTTAAAATTTTTTTAAAATGTAAATACAAAAAATTTTAACTTTATGACTGTTCAGTCTGTTTCTTAAGAAAAATAATTGCTTAAAAGAATATATCATATTAAGGAAAATTCATACAAAAAGATAGAATATTGATGTTAATAACAATGATAAAGTAATTTTATAATTATTTGGAAATGCAATGTCAATGAAGGATTTTACTATATTTTTTTTTAATAGATCAAGTATAAAATTATTATTAAAGGAATAGCAATGAATTTTCCTGAAAGTGATCAATAAATCAACAATTTTAACTGAACATTGAAATAACCTTAGCAAATTAATCTTTTTCTGAAGACTGTTTAATGACTTCTATAATGTATTTTTTCCTCACGTTACAAATTAATTTCCTTTAATAAGTTATTATAAACTTCCTGTTCATTTTTTTCTGTTATTTCAATTTTTATCTTCAAAATGAGAACTATAGGTTTTAAATATCATTTCAAATTCCATTTAATTTGCTAGCTTACTTGTTAACAATAAGAAAAATACCTTTAACATTTTAGAAATATTTAATAATAATAATCCTTGATTTTTAGAGTTATTTCTCTTTTAATTATTTATAATTTTCATAATCTGTCTGCAGGAGGAAGGTACCTGATGACAGCTGTTGCACAGTCAACAGACATGTTTTGTATTATTTTAGGGGATATAGCTTATACCAAATTTTTTAAACCTAAAACATTTTTTTTGAAAACAGTAAATGAAAAATTTTTCATTTTTTTCCCTAAACTTTTCAAGAACATATTTAGAAAATATGAAAAATTCTTTTTATACCACATATTTGCATTCTGACATTGCAATTTCTCCCAAAACCATCAAAGAACATGTAGGCATGCCTCATTTTTATGTGTCAATCCGTTATTAGATACTCCTACTTTAAAACTGATCTACTTCTAATGTATGTAATGGTTTATTAATAAATTTCAGAAAACAGTTTAGAAAATAACCATTGATTTTATCATATTGCGGTCTGTCTAAACCAGGGGTCGCCAAAGTGATCTATATCGACCCCCAGGAGTCACTATAACATTATTGGGGGGTTCGACGAAAAGACTAAAACTTACAAATTTTGAACTGAATATTGCTAATCTTGCTAAGGATTATCAAGCTTATCCGTCTCATTGATTGTCAGTTACAAAAATTATTATTAACATATGTACAATAAATGTAAAAAATGTAAAATTAAAAGATATATATTAAAATAGTAAGAGCTTTTTTTTGCTTGTAACACAAACTTTTTGATGGTGGTTGATGTGAGGTTTCAAAAAGTTGTAGGGAGTCGATGATCAAAAAAGTTTGGCGACCCCTGGTCTAAACAAATATGACTTTTTCTCAGTCATTTTTGATGAGAAGTAAGTCAGTACCATTGATGGTTCATATGTATGATGCAATAATTTTTATCTTAATAGACTATAAACATGTTTCATTGCATTTATGTAACTAAAATAATTACAGTGGATGCTGCTTAAGTCAAAGCCCTTCAAGAATCTTAAACACTTTTGCTTTATCCAACTGTCAAATTAATCAAAGTGATAAGAAAATAACTTAAGAATAGCAGGTTTTGTTTTCCAGATTAAAATGTAGTATTAGTCTAGTATTAGTTATGATAAAAGTTTATAATACAGTATTGAAATTAAAATGACTATTATTGTCATAATTATCATCATTATGTAGTATTATTTTAATTAATTAATTAATTACAGTGGACACCTGTGGTTAATGAATGGATCAACTAAGGAAATATGTTCTATAGATCTTAGCATATCTGACTAACAGAAAAATCTCTGAAATACTGTAAATCTAATTGAAAAGCCAAATTATGCATTTCTCTATGTTTATAATGTGATAAAAGAGTAGTTTTGATTATGCTCTTTGAATAAGTGTTGCTTCAGCCAATCAAAACAATGCAGTTAAATTCTTGTGTATTTTTTCTTTTACATAAAATTTAACAAGGCATATCCAGGGGGGTGCTTATGGTGCTGCAACACTACCTTGATAACAAAGCAATCAGTTTTGTTACTTTAAAATAAAAAATAAACATAGTGGTACCTCGTACTTTGAACATTCCAGAGTTTAAAAGCTAAATTTGACAGAAATTTGCTCTGGTTTTCAAACAATGCTTCTAAGATCAAACTTCATGTGCAGTGAAAAAATGCACTCAAACCATAAATGCCATTTGTTGTGCACCCATGTTGTCTCTCACTCTCACATTATGCTCATGTGTTTTTGGTGCTTTTCTTTACTTTATTTCTGGCTGTTTGGTTATATATATTGTGAATTATTCATCAATTTTTAACAGTTTCTTTCTGAAGTTTTTCTATTTGTCAACTGCTTTTGCTTACTCTGTACATTTTGTATCATTTAGTTTCAAATTTTCTGAATGGAACTTTTTAAACCACATTTGACATGTTTAAAGTTCATGAGTATAGCAGACTCTCCCATATCCAAACTAATATGGGTGAGAGTGATCCAGATACAGTAGAGCATCGATTATCTGACTCAATTGGGGACTCAGGTTGGTCGGATAACTGAAAAAATCGGATAACCGAAAAGAAGGGAAAAAATACATTATTACTATATAGTATATTAGGATATTAGTATATCCCATGTAATTAGTTTATTAGTATATCGCTATTAACCAACTTTGTGTTGAATTTTCATTGATGTTTAATCTAACAAATTTTTTTTTGAAAATAATAATCATCACTATTCTATCATTAAAAATTATTTTTAAATTATTTTATTGCTCACGAAACAAACAACCACTCATAATTAGAAAATTAAGTCTCGTTTAAATACTGGCCTCCCTTCAATGGTCGAGCTGTTGATGCCAGCTAAAATATGCAAAAATTTAACAAAAATAATATTATTAAAGTAGCCAAGACATAGCCAAATATTGTAGCGCTACATCACTAGCGGACATTTGAAATTTGCCGACTAGAACGGTCAGTTAACCAATGTGACGGTTAATCGGGAGTCGGATAATCAATGCTCTACTGTATTTGAAAAATCCAAATAAAGGGCTGTGATAATTTTTAAGTAAGACTGTAAAATATATGCCTACTGTATGTATAAGAAATGTTTATTTTGACTTTGACACTTACTTTTGACAATTACAATTAGTTTTGAAAGTATTGTGTTAAAGTTAGTTTTGTTTTTCTCATTTCACTGATTAGCTGCTACATCACACCCATGTCTTGTCATTATTATGTCATCAATGGTTGATGCATTGTCCTCTTCTATAAACTTCAAGGCAACCTTAATAAAAAAAAAAAAATTTAAATATACACACTGAAGTATGAAAGGTAAGATTCAGAATAGTGTACAATATTTTTGAAAATTTTTGGTTGTCTATGATCAGTCCATATATGGGAGAAGCTACTATATCTTTCCCATACACATTACAAATTTTTTTACAGTTTTTATGGCATTGTATCCTTTCTAAGATTCATAGAGCATAATAAGCTTGGCATTCTTTTTATCTGAAGACATTTCAAATTGATTTTATTCAAACAATATATGAAGTAAAAAGGTTCAAAATAAGCTTCTAAACAAAGAATACAATCTCACATTAGCAATAATGTTTTAGATAAATAGCTGTTTATAATTAAATCACACATGTGTTAAGTAACAACAGCTGTTAAAAATAAGCAAAAACTTTCTGTTCAACCCAATATAACCTTTACTTATTAACAAGGGCATGGGAGAAGTGTGTGGAAGCAACAAAGCCTAAGAGGAAGGTTGTAATATGGACGATTGAGATGAAAAAGAAATTTATCACGAAGCATGAAAGCAGTACATGTATGGCAAATCTGATGGTCATGTTTAAGATGCCAAAATCGACAGTGTGTGACTGGTAAATTCAATATTCATTTTATTATACAGTATTTACATGTTTTATTTATTACTAAACCAAATAATTGCCATAATTAATCAGGCTATTTTTTGATGATATTAATAATTAGAAATTAAGTAATTTGGTATTAGAGGTAGACATTAGGCACCATCTCTTATCAAAATTAATAATTATAATAATTTAGAACTATCTGGAAGAAAAGAATCGGCCCAGAGTGGGATTTGAACCCACAACCTCTGCTTACTATGCGGTGCACTGCCAGTTATACCACCTGGACCTCTGAGGGATTCTTTGCTTCAAGACATATTTAAAACTTGATGTAACCATTCATGGTTGGTAATATATCTTGAAGTGAAGAATCACTCGGAGGTCCAGGTGGTACAACTGGCAGTACACTGCATGGTAAGTGGAGGTTATGGGTTCAAATCTTGTTCTGGTCCAATTCTTTTCTTCCAGACTGTTCTAAATTATTTAATAAATATTAAATTATTATAATTATTAATTTTGATAAGAGATGGTGCCTAATGTCTACCTCTAATACCAAATTACTTAAGTTTTAATTAGCAAAAAAACAGCTTGATTAATTACAACAATTGTTTGGTTTAGTATTAATACATCAGGCTTTGGGATATATTTTATTTATTGTTTTAATTTATTATTTAGGGCATTTAATTGTGTTATTTTTTTACTTTAAATTATGTGTATTTATAAGTATAACATACATCTCAGAGCCTGACGGGTATATAGAAACATGCAATGATCACCTAAATGATCACAATGTTTCTATATACTCATTGGGATTTAGTTAGGAGATAGTGACTAACATCTATCTCTAGTAGCAAATAACTTTGTATTAATTATTTAAAAATTAGCACAATTGTAGCCCAATCATTTAGGCAATCATTGGATGTTTCTATATGTGCATTTGTTTATACACATCTCAAAACCTGATGATTATAGTAAAGCCATATGATTGCCAGATTAAATTGGGCTACATTATCACTACTATTAATAATTAAATACTGAGTAAGTGGTGTTTAATTATTAATAATAACAGTAATGTAGCCTGATTTAATCTAACAATTGTTTTACTGTAATATGTATTTGCTGTTCAAGTGTTTTCAAAATGTGTATTGTTTAGGATATGGGAATGAATAATTTGCTTTCCCTTATTTCTAATGGGGAAAATTGATTTGGACTTCAAATGATTCAAACAGCCTCCTGGAATGAATTAAATTCAAAGTAGGAGGCACCACTGTATTATAACATATATCATATGACTTCAGTTTGATAAGATTAGTTAACTAAAGTAATTCTAAGGTAATTGTGTAACATTCTTCATAAAACGATGGGGCACATGCATTGAACTCCCTCTTGAATTTACCTTGAGCAGCACCCATATTCTCAAAATCCTGGATACGCCACTGACATTTAATATACAGTATATTGTGTCTATATTTATATTATTACTTTTTAAATTTTCTATGACATTTTTCATATTTGATATAGTTTCTTTTTAGTATTAAAGGAGACAAATGAAAGTTTAAGCCTAGCAAATCAAATGATGATATTTTATTTTCATTACAAAACATCTATAAGACGTAGCTATCTAGACAAAAGACAATAATTTGTTAGTGGAAACCTATTATTTCAAAAATTAATTTAATAAACCCTTAAATATAGTAAAAACGGGATGTTTATTAATGGAACAAACATTTTTGAGCATGTAAAATGTCCAGCTTCAGATTCTAGAATGGAATACTATTTCATATGCACAACTGCAATGCTTTTGCACGAACAGTTTCATTATGATATCCTTTAGTTTGATTGCAATGTCATAACAAAATGTGATTTTATACAATTAATAAAAATAAGGCATTTTTTATCAACTGTAGGAAAGCCAATCTAAACTGACATCGATTTTTTTTTATTTATTAACACATTATTTAATCATTAATTATTAGACTGTTGACTTATCTATAGTAAAGAAAGCATTACTATAGGTAGCTGGGACATGATATATATGCCAACTTATGCAGTAGTGTCAAAAGTTAACTGTTATCAAGTTAAAGTAAATTTACATTATTGTCTGCAGAACTTGGTCAGGACCTCAGAAACTTATTGACTTATACACATTTAAAACAGTCTTAGCTTAAATGTACAATACTTTGCCTTATTTATACACAACAGAATTATTTTCTGTTAATAAAATTGGAACTAAAGATGATGTCATTACTATTTTGCCTTATTTTTAAACACTACAGTATGCTATTCATTTTATGTTTATTAAAATAGCATTTTTGTATAGAATTTAAAATATTATTAAATGATGATCACGTTAGAATGCAGTAGTGACAAAATATATTCTTTACTGGAGTTCACTTTATTAACTACTTTTAATTACTTTCAGGCAATCAAGCCAATAGTGACCAGATACAAATTAATTAGTTTAGTAATTATCACCTAAATTTGCACAACAGAGTTAGTTTTAATGGTCATAGATTGTTTATGTAACATGAAACTTATACAAATTTAGGTGATAATTACTAAATTAACACACTTGTATGTATCCTTACAATGGGCTTGGTTGCCTGAAAGTACTTGAGAGAAACTAGTTAATAAAATGACTCCAGTAAAGTAATATATTGTTTTAACAGAAAAAATTATATTTCTTGAGACTATACATACAATATGAGTCAATTTCTTTCAGTCCCTTCACACACTGTTGAGGTAATAACAATTGCACAATGATGGCAACCTTTTATTGTAGGCTACTCATTCGCCATACAATGCAAAAAAGTTAAAATAGTCCTCTAGCGGTGGCACAAAGATAAAATTAATAATATACATTTTAAAAATTGCCAGGACAAATTTACTTTAACAGAAAAAATTATTTTTCTTGAGACTATACATACAGTATGAGTCAATTTCTTTCATATTGTATGTATAGTCTCAAGAAATCTAATTTTTTCTGTTAAAGTAAATTCGTCCTGAAAATTTTTTATAATATATTGTTTTGTTATATTTTTTTTTTTAAAGAACTTGAGTTGTTTTTAATACAAATATTTTAAAGGACAGTAAAAAAGCCCAAATTGGTGAAAAAGTTCCACAAAGACTGAAATGTATACCTCACATATGTAGAACAACATAAATAAATACTGAAGATAGCATGAGATGAAGTAAAAAATATTCTAAAATAAATAGTTTTGATATCCTTAATCAAGCAGTTTTTGTTTATTGAATCGTCACTATTATGGTGCCCTGTTTCAAAAACATATTTCAATAATGTTGCTAGTAAAAGAAATTTTTGTAGTTTGAATAAAGTTTTTAATGCAGGATATTCCATTTAAAACTAGCTTACTTGCACAGCAAAATCAAAAAGTTTTTTCATTATTTTTAATAAATAAATACATATTCATAGAATATGTTGAAAATATAACTCTTGCACTTCAATATAATTTTTTACACGTATGTTCAGATACCCTTTGTACAAACTGGTAACTTCAGTTCCAAAAGCACTTCAAATCTCTCTTAGTTCTTCTAAAGTATGAGGATTTGATTTGATTTAACTTTGTCCTTAAAGTATCTTTACATATCAGTTGTATGCCATCCTATTGAAAGAAGTAATTCTTGCACTCATCAGCATATAATTGCTTAGAAATTCCAGGATACACAATACTCACAGTCCTGTTAAAAATGATTGGAATTACATTTTTTGATTGATGAACTTTGATTACTTACTATTGCAGACTGGCAAGTAACAGTGATGGTATAGTTGCGACATGACTAAATGTTAATTACTGAATCAATATTAATTAAAACTGGGCAGATTAATTTTATTGAATAATTGGGACATATTGTAATTAAAAATTTTTGTTGAAATATACTAAACACTTAATACAAAAATATAAATTCACAGAACTTTCAAGAATCATTCAGTTATTTTGAGATTGCATAATTGCAACTACAATTGAACTGAAATATTTGTCTTATATTGATTCAAAAAAGATAAATTATACAACCATTTTTATTTATTTTAATATATCATTTAAGAATATTTTTTTGAAATTTTCAGGAAAAATTTTTAATTGTATCAGAAGTTAACACATTTTATTTTTCAGGTCCAAGCTTGCTTGGAATCGTCCAGCTCAAGTGACTTCCTAGGAATTTATAAAACTTCAATTCAAGCTGTGAACTGCAAACATGACAAATGTCATGACAACTGCACTATACTAATATCTACTATATAGATTTGTTTCTTCCCTGTTTAGTTCTGTGTATGGTCACACATGGGACTAGTCTAAAGATACTCAGGCTTCCTAGTCATTCTTCTCCACTCTCACACTCTCATTTAGATAATAAATATTTTGAAAAATTATAATTTATTATTCAAACTACAAAAATATTATATTGGACTTTTGTTTAAAAATTTGTGTAAGAAATTTGCTCTCTAGTTTCTGTTGTGTTGTTTTAATGTATGTGTATGTATGTATGTATGTATGTATATATATTATACATATTGTTTTTAAATGCTATATTATCAGAGTTAAATGAGAGAGAAGACAGTTATGCTTAGTCTTACTTGGTTTCCAGTTTAGTATTATTTTTAATTTTTTTTAATTCAAAGATTTATTTTGTATTTCTTAAACTAATATTATAAATATATTAATATATAAGATTTGAGATAATGCATTCAGTATTTTCTTATAAAAGAAAATTATTAAATTCATTCCATTCAATTATTTTCATATTTATCTGTGCAATATTTGAGAATGAATAATTTGAAATGTGTATATCTCTAAATAATTTCACATATTTTAAAAAATTTTTATATTGTTCCTATTATGTTAGAAATTTAAAAGTTTATAATTTCACGATATTTACAATTATTTTATTTAAGTAATTCTATGTGCAAATTATGAAGCTTTTTGTGATAATGCAAAAAAAAATTTTACATAAATAATTATATATATATATACAGTACATATATATATATATATAAATTCTGAAAATGTGCTAGCCATGAGTGAGTATTTGCTCACTT